GAGAGGTGTCAGGAAATGCTTGGTGGCATTTTCCTCAACAATGACAATGCTAATTGAAATGACTTCTTAGATGATTGGCTTCACAACAGCATACATATACTTCAGAGATTAGGATGTGGGGAAAACAAGCATCCACTGAAGAAGAAATTGAACAGAAAGGCTCGGAAAAGAACTCACAAGTACAAGCAAGTGATGTTTTGACAGCCATTGAAGTATCAAGGGCTGAGCTAGCCCTTAAATTGTGTTCATTAAGTGTCATGTGTTTCTTTGAGGTTTATTAAGACCCCAGAGGAGGGACTCACAAATTTCAACACAGAGAAATAAAAGCATTCATTTAGGGCTATAACTCTCCTCCCCTGAGTTTCTTTAAATGTTGTTTTTGACACACCTTTTTTTTTTCCCCATTTTGACAAACGGTTGTTAGCAAACATGGTGACAGCAGTTACTCCTTTAGACCAAATGACAGCATTCTTTTTGTTCTCAGGGTGGAAGAGTCCAAGTGAGATTTGAATGGCTTTTAGAAGCTTGAGAAAAGTGTACTACTAGAGAGGGTAAGATTGAGGCAGTACGTGTATGAAGAGGAGAAAGCCGGCCCCTGCTTTGTCCTCTGTGAACCCAGTCTCTGTCAGCTGAGTCTCTGTGAGGAGAAAAATCCTAACAGTCCATCCCTGACCTGTGAAGCAGAGACCTCACACAACACTGAGTGTGTGCCAGGAATTAGAGGGAGTTTGGCTCTTTGCCAGGGTAGAAACTTTGAGACAAGTTCCCAAGGTCATTGTCTGGACAACTGAAATAAAAGTCTCTGAGAAGATTCAGGACGAATTTAGAAGAACTTTGGGGAGTGGGGGAAGCCATTTCTGCACTGTTTTAGGAACACGGAGGCTTTGCAGCCGCTCTCCCATAGCTCCTCAGGCCCTTGCTCCACCCTCTACTTCCCTTCATCTGTAGCCTATAATTGATGAAAATAGATCTTAATGTAATGAATAAGAGCAGGATGAATTATTGCTTGATCTGTCAGAAGCTGGGTTCCAGGACATCTCTGGCCGACCAAAGCCCACAGATGGCCTGAATGCCTTACAGTAAATGATGTGACATCTATACGCAAGCCATGCTCGTCCTCCTGGAGAATTCTCTCTAGATTGCTTGCAATATTAATCCAATCCAAGTGCCTTTACCTAGGGGTCCAACTGCATTGTTTAGAGAATAATGGCAGGGACAAGGCGGCACATATTCCGTCCTGACCCAGCTCTTTCCTCCCTCTGTCCTCTCTCCCTCCTGTCTTCTTCCTTTCCTTTCTGTTTCTAACCTGCAGTGGCTTGAATCTGTGGCTGCAGAGCCCCTGAAGGAGAAACAATTCCAGGAGACACTAAGATAGACAGCGAGCATTCAGTCCTGGTGGAGCTGAGCGACAGAGCCTCCGCATCTATTCTGCGTCTCAAGTAGAGACACCTGGGAAAACGAGCTTTCCCGAGGCTCATTTCCCCATGCAAATCATCAGGATGATGTGGGAAGACATTGCGGGGCACTGAGGACTTTTTGTTAATCTTATGTGTGTGTGTGGGATTTGCACATAGGTTTGTGCCACAGAGCATGTGTGTGTGTGTGTGGGGGGTGTGGAATCAGAGGACATCCTGGGGTGTTGATCTACTCTGTTGTTTTCCACTCTGTTTGAGGAGGGTCCTCTTCAATGCTCAGGGCTCCACATGTCAGGCTGGGCCGCTGGCATCCGAGGACTGACTGCCTTTCACTTCTCTGTAAGAATGCTGGCGTGGCAGACCGTGCTACTGCCTGCCTTCAGTTCTACACGAGTTCTGAAGATCCCAAGAGGCTCTTATACCTATGTGGGTGAATGTTTTACCCACTGAGCCATCACTCCTGCTGGAAATTTCTTATACTTGGTGCAAATTCAGAAGGAACAGGAACTCATCAATGTTTCTTCTTCCTTTCTTTTCTCCCTTAATACTGGAGAAAGGAGACATAGAAAAAGTGATGGGCATTGATAAGTACTTCCAGATATTCCCCAAAACTCTTGATTTTTTTTATCGAGACAAATTAGCATCGTGTTCTGTGGTAATACCCCAGTTTATTCACCTATGGTGGGCAGAGCAGCTAAACCTCTAGAAATGTGTATCCACTAGTAAAGAAGATCAGAGAAAACGAATTATAGTAAGTACACAAGAATAGAGAGGTATAAACAGGGTGGTGGTACAAGCTTGTAATCCCAATATTAGAGACGTAGAGGTTTGAGGATCAGAAATTCAAGACTGGCATCCTTGACTATATAGTCAGTTTGAGGCCAGTCTGGGATACAGGAGACTGTTTTGTCTCAAAACAAATAACACAACAATAGTAGTAGACCTCCAAGCAAACAGGAAGCAGAGAGAGAGGCTGGAACAGCAAACAGGAAGGAGAGACAGAGGCTGGAACAGCAAACAGGGAGCAGAGACAGAGGCTGGAACAGCAAACAGGAAGCAGAGACAGAGGCTGGAACAGCAAACAGGGAGCAGAGACAGAGGCTGGAACAGCAAACAGGAAGGAGAGACAGAGGCTGGAATAGCAAACAGGAAGGAGAGACAGAGGCTGGAACAGGAAACAGGAAGGAGAGACAGAGCTTGGAACAGCAAAAGCAGTGCAGGCCTGTGACTCACTGGGCTCACTTCTGGGATTTGCATTTTGCTGCTGTCTGGCTCATAAAGCTGTCCACATCCCGTCCTTCTCATCTGCACATAGGATGACATAGGGAGTACCAGAAGTGTGTTGGAATACCGAACACCAAACAGGTAGATGAGCCTAGTAGGTGTTAACACTCAGCCTCAGCCATGATCCACACCGTAAACCACAAACGTGGATCTGGTCAGGTTGCATGTTTGTAAAGCAGCCACTGTAGCACAAGTTGGGGGAGTTTTCCACAGAAGCCAAAGGCCTCTGAGGTCTTGGGGCACTGGGCAGGTGGCTTTGGGCGGGAATCTGCTGCTGGCTGCAGCCTGCCTCCTGGGTCGGTGCTGAGCTCACTGCTAGTTCTGTGCACCAGGCATTATTCATACTGTCTTTTTACACAGCAGTTTACCTTACTTTCTCTGCTTCCAGTGGGAGATCAAGAGCATTGAAATTATCGAGGTGGCACAATAAATCATGGCCACTCCTTGACATGGCCAGACAAAGCAGCTGGAGAGAGACTCGCTGCAATGTCAATTCAAAGTTGAAATGCAAAGTTTAACAGATTAATTCGCTCCTCTTCTTTTGTTGTCACCTGAGTGTTCCTTTTCCACACCCCCTCCCGTGACTCAAATAAGTCACCAACCCTGCAGCTGCATGGATTAAATCCTCACACTTTGCTCCTTCCTGTATCCCTTCCCTCCCTTCCTCTCCTCTCCTGCCTTTCCCTTCACTCTTTTTTTTTGTTTTGTTTTGTTTTTCGAGATAGGATTTCTCTGTAGCTTTGGAGCCTGTCCTGGAACTCATTTTGTAGACCAGGCTGGTCTCGAACTCACAGAGATCCGCCTGCCTCTGCCTCCCCAGTGCTGGGATTAAAGGCGTGCGCCACCACTGCCCGGCTCCCTTCACTCTTTATCTCCAGTTGTGTTAGAAAAGAAACTGTGCAGACCTGGCCCTGACTTTCAGCTCTAAGTGCACAGCAAATATTATCAAATGTTTGTGAAATGAGTGAAAGCCAGTTTTGATATTCTAGTTCTCTCATGCTTTAAATAAAAAATACTAATTTTTTGTTACTCTGCACTAATCATATGTGCTATCGGGGTTGCTGTGGTATTTTACACACACTAAATAAACCCTTTACACACCCGCCGTCCCTCCCTCCTCGTTGCAACCTTTTGCAAGAACTGTGCTATCTCAGCTGACCATTGACTGTCTTCCTGGCTTTCATTTCTCTTGTTCTTCTGAAACCTCTTGGCTGGGCCCCTGCATGTCTCCCAGGCATGGACTGCTAAGCATCCAGAAGGTGGGAGAAGTGACTATCCCTTGACGAGGTATGGATTCACCCACTTCCATGCCCTGGCTCACTCTCCCTGCCGAGACTGCCTGCTTTCTAATCCTAACTCATTAAGTCTAACTTTCTTTCCTTTCCTTTTCTCGTTCTATCCCGTTTTCATATGCTATCCCCAATCCTCAGCCTGCTCTCTCTGACACTCAGGGTCATTTTCCCTCTCTTTGGAGGAGTCCTCTACTCCCCACCTGCTTACAGGCTTCCCTTGCTGGGCCTGCCTGCTTTCTTGACCCTCAATTTAGAAAGCATGAACTCCCCACCCCACTATCCAAATCTTTCTCCTTCTGGAAGCTGCTTTTTGAAACTTGCTTATATTTTCTAACTGCCATCCCCCCTACACCCTGTTTTTTTTTTTTTTTTTGTTTTTGTTTTGTTTTGTTTTGTTTTGAGTGTGCTTTGAGCAAGAATCTGTAAAAAGGGAGCCCAGGTCCTGCTGGTGTCTCCTCTCGGGTGTGCCATGGAATTCCTGTAAACCTGAGTGTGAACTGGTTGCCTGCAGCAGGACCCACTATTTCTGGGTGTATCCCCCAAACTCCCATGTTACAGTGCTAACCTCCAGTACTTCAGACAATGTTTTATCTGTAGACAGGACTTTTTAAGAGGTGATGAATTTGAAGCCAGGTCATTAGGGTCCTTCACACAGTAGTATCCTTACAATGAAAGGGAAATTCGAAAACACTCAGAGACCACACAAAAACCCAACGAGAGGATGGCTACCTGGAAACCGTGAACAGCACTGTAATATTAAGTTGGGGTCGTCACCCCAGCCCCTGGCAGGCATCCTTGGGGCGCCAACGGAGCGAAAAGCTCCATCTCAAGGCCCCTCGCTTGGGAGTTGCCTTGGGCTAGACTCCGGACTCCACCTCTGGGAAAGACCGCCAAATGCTGACCCCTCCCCAGGGAGGGTCAGGACCACTCCCATAGGCTCTTTAGGTTCGGGGGTGGGGGGGACGACGTGGGTTTCAGGTTTTGCGTGAGCTCTCCCCCTCTGCCTTCTGTGTCTCTGCCTCTTGTTCCCGGCCACCCGAGAGAGCAGTATTCATTCAACGTGGGCATTTTTGATTCAGTCTAATTTGGTTTGGTTGGAGTTCTTTGTGCCGGTGAAGAGGCTCATCTTAAGAGATATTCCTAAGAAGCGCCATCAGAAGATCCTAACCTACCAGTGTGTGAGTTCAGACTTCACGTTCTATCAGGATGGGGAACCACATCTGTTTACGCTGCCCAGACTGGAGCGCCTACGGTAGGCCTGACCAAACGGATGTTCTGTTTACCTTGTTTGGCTAAGCTTAGGCTTATTAACCAAAGGAGAGCCATGGCCTTTAGGCAGCTCTCTCTCGATAAGGGAACAGCATGGACTGTATGGACCATGCTATTTGCTATTGGGACGGAGGTAGACTAGTGGAGGAGGCGGAGAGGTAAGAATCCAGGTCAAGAGACCGCTCAGCAAACTCTCCTCTCTGAGTCTGATTTCGGCTCTGGTGTCCCTCCCCGCTGCCTGGTTATTTTCTGTGACAGAGCAGGGTTCTTGCGTTTTCTCTGCTCCAGCCTCACCAAGCATCCACTGCCTGGTATAAAATTCTAGATAAGGTTAATCCTCTTATAGCCGGTTCTGTATTCAGAGTCAACCAACTGTGAGCCGAAAATATAACCTCAATTCTAAGATGGTTGTGAAAATAGTGGGTTCCTTTCGTCATTATTCTTTAACTATTGTAGCAACTGTTTACACGATGTTATAGTTAATTAGACACACGTAATCTAGAGACGACTTAAAGCATGTATAAAAGCAGGTCATGTGAGAATACTTCTGGTTTTATATTAGTACTTGAGCGTCTACAGACCCTGGTCTCTGCGGGGACTCTGGGTCCTGGATCCCATCCCCATGGATACTTAGGGAAGACATATGGAGTTCTCCATTAACTCACTTTTATTAGGAGTGGAAAATGTGGCAGTAGTGACACGCCAGCTCATGTCCCAAGAGTGAGAGGAACTGTAGAGGACCGGTCCTGAGAATAATTAGTCCAAGATCACTTCACAGAGAAGCCTCAAAATTTATCGAGGCTCCCGCCAGATTGTTAACCAAATGAGCCAATTGATTGCCGACCCCGGTTTCCACATCCACATTAAGAGTCAATTGGAAAGGACGGATTTTCAGGCCGTTTATAAGCTCGATTCTGTTCCCTCCTCTTTTTGCTACTTTGGGTAACTCTATTACTCCAACTGGAAAAAATTGTTGTCTAATGGTATTAAAATGTCCAGCCGCTGATATACCGTGACCGGCTCTTGGCTTTTTGCGTGATCTGGGGATATTAAGATACCATTAAATATTCGCTCTCCACTCTTTCACGCTAGGACTTAATGCTGTCTTCAAAGACCATTACTCAGCAGAGTTGGCAGGCCGTCTCTCCTTTGAAGTTATTCTTACGAAAGCAGCCGTGTTCATGATATTCTCTGTTGCCTGCTGCATCTACCTCCTTGCCCAGAAAAAGGCTTTCGAAGGGGCGACTATTTGACATAGGATGTACATATGATGGGAGGTTCGGAGTAGAAAGCAGGCATGGAGAATCACCTTGGCTCTTCACACATACAGGTAGCCTATGTTTTTGAGGAAAAAAATTACATCACCGTCTCTGATTAATATAAAGGTGTATTGAGTTTCTGGGCTGGTGTTCCAAGTGGCAGGGACAGAGGAACACTTTATATTCTATATTATAATAAGAACACATTTGTGTTTCCTTTTCTAAAGGAAATCTATATGTATGCATTGTAAGTAGCCCAACACATACCTAGTTAGCTGCTAACCTTTGGTCTTTGTGTCATCCAGACGGTGACTGAGGGAGAAAGCAAGGCTCGGCGTGCTCGGTGATAAGGGAAAATCACCAGCAAACAGCGCGAACCGAGAGACCACGGGCAAGACCAGCTTTGAAACAGCTGTCTTTGTTTCCCTTCCTGTATGATAGGTTCGCTAGAGAGGAGATGGCGGCAGATTTCGGGGACATTATCCACTGCATTGTCAATTTCCCCACGCTATGAATGAGTCACGGGTTTAAGATTCAGTTTCTCTTTTTGCTTATTAGTTCAGACTGGGAGCTTGTGTTGGGGACTGTGGACCCCCAGACCCTGAATTTCCTGTGACTCCCCTGCCTGCCAGAGTAAACAACTTGTTTTCCTTTGCTTGAAGTTGCTCTGAGCAGGAGACCCTCAGGAGTTCCTGAGGGCAGGGGAGTGGTTTCTGGTGGGCTTGCAGCTGAGAGGGCGTGGAAGGTGATTCTATGTAAGCTGCCCTGGAACACAACAATAGAGCATTCTTGGAGCATTCTTGGTGTATTTCAATCTCCAGGCCCTTGCCTGACCGTGAACCATACCATAGTGCATAGAGCAGGCGTTGCCCTACAAGCATGTCTGGAATCCAGTGGGGTTTAGGATGGTTAAATCTTCGGGAGTGTACACAATGAGAGGTCAAGAAAATACAATGAAACTGAGACTTGAGAAGTGAGACAGGGAAATGAGTCACTGGGTAAACCCTCGAAACTTCCCTTCCTACCCATCATTCTTAACCGTGAGAACCACCCAGGGTCAGCTGGATAGGGCTTGGGTGTTGATAACGGCTATGAAATTGAAAGAGTAATGATGGTAAGTGCTGATGTGGTCCCTCTACCTCCTTAGAAGGCGTTGCCACGGGGATGGCATTCCAGACTGGACATCCTTGCACCTTGCAACGGAACTGTTCTTCAGCAGATTGTTTTCCTTTAGGATGGTGAAGCACAATTAATAAAAACTCAGGGTCAGAAACTGGGGTTCAACCTGAAGATCCGTAAAGCAAAACAGCCAGCCACTTCCTCTTACCTAGACCTCAGTCTGAAATGGCGATCCTGCCTCCAGGAATCTCAGAATGAGACTGTGTCTGAGAGCTCTCTCCCCCGTTTTATATTCCTCTCTAGGGCTGGGATTAAAAGTGTGCATCTCTGGGGTTAAAGGCATGCACCACCCGATTTCTATGGCAACCAATATGGCTACTGGGATTAAAGGTGCATGTTATTGTGGTGGTTACTGGGATTAAAGGTGTGTGATACCGTAACCTGGTCTGTAAGGCTAACCAGTGGGACTGTTTTACTCTCAGATCTTCAGGCAGGCTTTATTTATTAAGATGCAATTGAAATGCCACTACAGGGCCCCATGCTGTGACAATTCTGACCTTACTTTTTCCCATTTGCTTTTGTCCTGATTCCTTCAACTAATTTATTTTTTTGTGATGTATGTGCTTTTTAAAAGTTTCTGGAAATCCTCAGTGGATTGAGGTGAGGTAAAAATAGGCAAAGAGGGGAAATGAGTTATGGAACCGTCTGCCTGACAGTTGGGTGGAATGGAAGATCAGAGGTTTGTGTGTGATGAGGGATTTCTCTTTCCAAAGTATCTTGTAGCTTTTGTTACTGGTCCTTAAATTAAGACCACACATTCACAATGACAATAGGGTGGGATATTTGGAATAGACCTGCTTGATGGGGCATTATAGTTAAACAGTTTGCCAAGAGCAGAGATGGCAGGGCTGCTTGAGAAGCAACATCTACTCCCAAGATAAAAAACCTCTTGACTTACACCTGTAATCCAGTGGGAGCTGAGGCAGGAGACTTGCTGAGGATTTGTGGCCAAGCTGAACTACATAGTGAGCTCCAGCTGAAAATGTTTTATTTGGAAAATTGTAGATAAAACAATTTAAATATTCATACCACTTAAAGTGTTAGCTAGATTGCGTGTGTGTGTGTGTGTGTGTGTGTACACGTGCATGCACATGCCAGGATACACGTGGGGTCAGAAGACAAACTGTGGGAGCTGCTTCTCCCCTGTGTGTGTTTCAGGCTGGTGGCACGGGGCTTTACCTGCTGAGCCGTCTTCCCGGCGTCCATTCTCCTTTCCAAGCAGATTGCTTTGTGAAATGGGTGTGTTCCTGGATGTTGACCGAGGCATCCTAGGTCCTATTATGTCAAAAGACATGCTTTGGTTTTCTCTTTGTGATTTTGCATTTCTATTATAATCCCAAGTTTTATGAATCATGCATGTTTTGGTTTTCTCTTTTGCTGTTAGTTTAATATCGAGCCCAGCAAGGTAAGGAAGTATGTCTCACGACTGTCCCATGAAGCTGGAGACTCCCTGCAGCCAGTGAATGAGGTGTTGTCATCCTGACAATTGACCAGGCTTAAACACAGTGAGAGGAGGGAAGTTTCCCCTGACTTGTGCTTTCAGAGACACTGGGCAGTGATCAGTTCCTTGCTTCATTGTGCTGGCCCTAATCTGAGGTAGAAACATCTTGATGTTAGGAGAACATGGCAGAGGCTACAAAACTCATGATGGCCATCAAAGCGGGGAGAAGGAGAGATGGGGAGAGAAAGGCAGGAGGTGCTTTTCAAAGACACAACCCCATATTGACCTACTTCCGGGAAGCAGGCCCCACTACTAAAATTTATTGATGTATGGATTTTTTTATGACTTACCCCATTGTTTTGATCAGAGCCCTTGTATTCCGTTTGTCTCTCAGAAGTCTGACTCTCTGGGGATCAAGTCTTTAACATGGGAGACTTTGCAGGGATATTTCATTTCCAAACCACAACATAGTCTATTCCAGGGAAGTGTCTCAGGTTTATCCCAAGGTTTCTAGAAGTTAATTAAGTAAATCAAGATCTTTGAGTAAAGCCATTTCAGTCTCTGGATTTGGAATGCCACACGGGTGACATCCAGATAAGAAACTATAAAGTTTTTGTGGCCCGATAAGCCTCTCTACGTACACAATAATCCAAACCAGACCAAATCAAACCGAATTTGACAAAGCCCAGGTTTAATGGATGCCAGCGCTCCCAGGTGACCTTCCAGTCCTCAGGGAAGAGACAGGAAATGAAGACCGGAAAGACCACGTGGTTCGTGTTCAGTCTCTGTGGGGCAGTTTTAACACTGTGAGGAGTGGTCTTGACCCTCTGTGGGGGAGGGGCCACTGTTTGGCAGGCTTTCTTGTAGGTGGAGTCTGGACTGAGGCAACTCCCAGAGGAGGAGGCCTGGAATGGAAGGTTCCACCCAAACATTCCAGACTCCCCGAAGCATGGATGCCAGGGGCTGGGGTGACATTTTCAACCAAACATCCCAGACTCCTTGGATATAGGGGTGCCAGGGGGCTGGGGTGACGCTACCAACCAGAGCCTCCTGTGTGGCATGTTGCAGCGTTGAAACAGCTCTTTTCTGAGCAGGAGGGAGTGA